AAGCAATGCCCAAGTTATGACCCATAATGAAATAAATTTAGTTCCTTCAGTCCTATAAAGGAACTGAAGAGGTTCTTTCATATGTATGTCTAAATATATTGTTGTTCCAGTTTAAGCATGAGAGCTATTATTATGTCTTTTTTAAACTATCATCTTGTAAAATGAAAAAAAGAAGTAGATAAAAATCAACAAAAAACCTGAGGAAATCTGAATGAACTGTGAACTTAGTTAATACACGAATATTCGTTAATTAACTGTAACAAAAGGAAATGTGCCATACTAGCATAAAATGTTATTAAGGAAAGCTTAATGTGGGGGGAGAGGAATATATGGGAAGTCTGCTTTATCTGCTCAATTTTTCTGTAGATCTAAAACTGTTTAAAAACATCTATTCATTAAAAAATAATAATAATGAGAGCTACATCAAGGTATGCCAGGCTATAGGCAGAATTGGTGTAAGGATATGGTAATCCACCTTCAGGGGAAGACAGGTGAGCACTGAGGATACTTCAGAATCCATTGTGGGAATAGAGTGAAGCATGCCAGGGTGGACCATGCTTTGGAGGGATTGAACTCAGGGGCACTCAACCATTGTGCCACATCCCCAGCCATATTTTGCATTTTATTTAGAGACAGGGTCTCACTGAGTTACTTAGTGCCTCACCCTTGCTGAGTCTGTCTTTAACTCGAGATCCTCCCATCTCAGCCTCTCGAGCCGCAGGGATTATAGGTGTGTGCCACTGCACCAGCTTGAAGGTAACTTTTGTTATGGCAGCCCCTTAGCTTTTCAGGGAAGAAGAAAAGAAGACCGTGAAAAAACTGCTATCACTAATATAAATCTTGAATTCATATGGTAACTCCTCCACAGCACTGCTCCATCTTCTGGCTTTTATTTATATGTGTGTGTGTGTGCGTGTGTGTGTGTATGTATGTATATGTATGTGTGTGTGTGTGTATATATATATATATGTGCCCTTGTGTGTGGGGGGGCATGTTTACCTAGAATACAGATCCATAGGAGCAGCCTACCTTCCTGTTCTATCTCCTTTATCTCCATCTACCCATAATCTCAGCCAAAGGCTCCCCTCCTGGTTTCCCAGTTTGCTGCATGATTGTCTCCTGGTTCTGACTCCACTATTATGCCAGATATAGAGTTTTCCATCTCTTTCTTTATAAGTTCCAAAAAGTAAGTCATGTAACTTCCTTTGGTGTTCTTATTTATTTATTTATTCCAGGAGTACCAGTGATTTAACTCAGGAGCGCTTTACCACTGAGCCTCATCCCCAGCGCTTTTTATTTTTTATTTTTGATACAGGATCTTACTAAATTGCTTAGGGCCTTGCTAAATTCTGATCCTCCTGCCTCAGCCTCCTGAGTTGCTGGGATATAGGTGTGTGCCACTAAGCCCAGTGATAGTTTCCTTCCTCAGTACTTGCATTAAAGCCCTGCATCTGTGAGTGAAATAAACATTTACCTATGTGACACTTAAGTTGTAGCATAACATGGTAGTTAAGATAAGAGCTAGTCTTCCACAGATTTTTAAGCAGTGATAACTTGACCTTGGGGAGACTTCCTTAACCTTATTGTAACTCAATGTCTTCTGTAAAGTAGGAATAATAATAATACCTATTGTGCAGATTAGTTTAATAAACATATAATATGCTTAGGACAATATTGGTACATAGAAAATGCTCAAGCCAGGCATAGTGGCACACAAGTATAATACCAGCAATTTGGGAGGTTGTTACGGGAGAATTGCAAGATTGAGACCAGCCTCAGTAATTTAGCGAGACCATCTCAAATAAAAAATAAAAAAGGCTGGGGCTGCAACTCAGTGGCAAAGTGCCTATGGGCTCAATCCTTAAAGTTCAATAAGCTGGGTGAGGTAGCCCCTGCCTATATTCCAGTAACTGGGGGGAGACTGAAGCAGGAGGTTTGCAAATTTGAGACCAACCTCACTGATTTAGCAGACTCTGTCTCAAAATAAAACAAATTTTTTTTTGTACCAGGGATTAAACTTCAGGGGCACTAGACCACTGAGCCACATCCCCAGCCCTATTTTGTATTTTCTTTAGAAACAGGGTCTCACTGAGTTGCTTAGCACCTTGTAGTTGCTGAGGCTGATTTTGAACTTGTGATCCTCCTATTTCAGCCTCCGGATCCACTGGGATTACAGCCATGTGCCACTGTGGCTGCCCACTAAAACAATTTTTAAAAAAAGAAAACAAGAAAATGCTCAATAAATGTTAAAAATTATTGTGTTATTATTAATTGATAAAATGACTTATAGGTTATATGAAAAGAAAACATCAGGGCTGTATGTTTTGGGTTTTTTTTTGTTGTTGTTTGTTTGTTCTTATTTTTGTAGTACTAGGAACTGAACCCAGGGACACTCTCTCACTGAGCTACACCCACATCCCTTTAGTTTGAGACAGGATCTCACCAAATTGTTCAGGCTGGCCTCAAATTTGCAGTTTTTTTGCCTCAGCCTCCAGAGTTGCTAGGATTATGGACATGTGCCACTGTACCTAGCTCAGGGCTATATTTGAAGAGTTATCACATTACAGGCCTTGTCCCTCAAGGGAGCCTTGCTGTCTACTTTTTAGTACATGTACTTTCCAGGAATACTGAGCTATTTGAGCCTCACTTTCCTTGTGTTTAAAATAATGGACTAGAGGATGGTATTCTTATGTTCTAATTTAGTGATATAGTCTGGGTATCCTCTGGGAGGTTCCTAAGACTATTTCAGGGTCAAAACTTTTTATAATACTAGATGTTACTTGCTCTTTTCACCCTTATTCTCTTAAGAATATACAGTGCAGTTTTCCAGAGTAGCTATATATGTCATTGCAACAGAGTGAAAACAAAAACAAACATAAGAATCCAGCTGTCTTAGGTAAGGTGTAAAAGAGATTTGCATTTTCTCAGTATATTTTTTGGAAAATACTATTTTTAAGTAAAAATCTATATTAAGTATTAATATAAATATTATATTGAACAAAAAGTCTATATTTTTTATTTTAATTGCTGTGTGTGTGTGGTACTGGGACTTAAACCCAGGGCCTCACACATGCCAGGCAAGCATTTTACCACTGAGCTACACCCCCAGTCTTAATTGCTACTTTTAAATGAATAAAAGAAATAAGATTGGGGCTGGGGATGTGGCTCAAGCGGTAGCGCACTCGCCTGGCATGCGTGCGGCCCGGGTTCGATCCTCAGCACCACATACAAAGAAAGATGTTGTGTCCGCCGAAAACTAAAAAATAAATATTAAAAAATTCTCTCTCTCTCTCTCTTTCTTAAAAAAAATTAAAAAAAAAAAGAAATAAGATTAAGGCTGGGAATATGGCTCAGTTGGTTGAGTGCTTGCCTTGCATGCACTAGGCCTTGGGTTCTAATCCCCAGCACTGCAAAAAAAAAAAAAAAAAGATGTAAATTTTCTGAGCTTCTAATATGGTAAATGTCAATGGATATAATCCACAGAAACAAAAGTACTTTGGGGTCCTCAATAATTTTTAGGTGTAAATTAGAACCACTGTTTCAGTTGACCTAAAGCATTCTAGCCCCTAAAGGGAGAAAGGAGTTCTTTGTGTACTCTCCTACCTTTCAAGCCTTTTCTGTCATCTTTGATTTCTAAGTATTCTTCATCTTTTTAAATTTATTTTTATGGGTGCATTATAATTATACATAATATTGGGATTTGTTGTTGCATATTCATACATGCACATGATGTCTGTCTTCTTTAGATACTCTGAAGTCCTATTTTTCCCTCCCAAGCCACAATCTATTAATTTGTCTTGTCCATATAATTTTTATTCATTGAGCTTGAATTCTTTCTCTCCTTCATTTGTTATTTGATGGTTTCCTGATGATCAAACTTTCCTTTTCTTCTTTCATTTTTTCCTTCTGTAATATCTTATCCCCGGCCCCCTTTTTTTTAGTTGTAGATGGACACAATACCTTTACTTTATTTATTCACGTATGGTGCTAAGGATCAAACTTAATGACTTACATGTGCTAGGCAAGCACTCTACCACTGAGCCCCAGTCCCAGCCCCACCTTTTCTGTCATTTTTAAAACGCCTTCTGCACTATCTCTTTCTTGATTTATTCTTTAACATTTTCGCACTTATACTTTCCCCTATTTCTGACATTTACACTCAGTTCTGTTCTTCAATCCACTCATCCATTTAGCAAATATTATTAAGCACAAATATTATATGCCACTCCCTTTGTTGGGCACTGGGGATTCAGAAACAAGATAAATGTGATCCTTGCCCTCCCAGAGTTCGCATGCTATCCAGCATAGTTACTTCAGATAGATCTGGGGACAGTTTCTAAGGTAATTTGTATAGGGTCTTACTTTATTCCCACTAGGTTAGCCTTGGTAGAATCATGTGAAATCCATGATAGTAGTAACAGTAGCAACAGCAGATACAAAAACCATTTGTCACATGTCTATTACTTGTCAGTTATTTTACTAACATTATCTCATCTAATTCTCATAGCAACTCTGCAAGATGTGTTTAGCCCTATTCTACAGATAGAAAAACTAAAACTCACAGAGGATAAGTAACTTACCTAAGGTCTATATCTAGAAAGATTGGCATCTAGATTTCTTTTTCTATTTAGTTGCATCAGCCAAGCAGTAAAGGTATCTTGGTCAGGAGGTGATTTGGTAAGAGAAATTCCAGAGCCACTTGTAGAAATAGTGTATGAACCTAGAAAGTTGCTGTTTCAGAGCATGGCAGTTAAGCTGGAACAGCTACCTAGGAATTTTATCCCAAGAGCTTTGTTGCCCCTAAGGTTAGTACTAGAAGTTGTAACTCATTGGAAAGGAATGCCTTTATGGGTAGAAAAATTGGACCAGGAGCCATCAGGTGTTTGCTTAATGGTGATGTTTGCTTAATGTTGCCAAGGACTGCCCAAGGCTTACCTGGGAATGGCTAGAGGAACACAAGTCAGAGACTGCTCTAACCTATCTATCATTCCTTTTGACAGAGTGATGTCAGAATCAAATTTGAGCACAACGGGGAGAGACGGTAAGTTGCCTTCCGATTGATGGTTGTGTTCATGTGTATGTAAGCTATCAGTATTGACTTTGGGAAGCAATACCCTGTCATGTTCTCTGTGGGACCACTGGCTGGAGCATGGGGTTGATTGGGCATAAAGGGGAAAGTTTCACCTACCAATTGAACTTTGTTTCTGATCTTAGAATTGGAATCCATTTCAATTGCTGATGTTCTGTTATATTCTGTTATTGTGAGATCTGCCATTTTATTAGGGGAGGAAATGAGAATTCTGTTTCTACTCCAAGTCATGGCTTCTAGACAACTGGAACTTCCAGACAACTGCCACCTGTGAGCATTAGAGGGAGGTCAGGATGGTCCTGTGACATGATGCCATCCCTATCTTCTGTAGAATTGCCCTGGCTTTGTCTATATTGGGGCCATTGAAAGTTGGGTGAATTGAAAGTTTCTTCATGATGTGTCTTTAGGTCATGGGAAGCTATACTAAGTCCATCAGTTTTAAAAGATTTCAGATCCTTTAAGGGCATAGAAAGAGGGAAGGCTTTCTGTTTTTGTTTTTTTAAGTCTATTCTGAATTTTACCTCATTGGTGAAAATAATGTTACTCAACTCTTCTGTCTTCTCCATTGTCAATATTTTAGTAGTAGTTGTTGTTGTCATTATTGTTATTATTTTGGGGGAAGCCAAGGTAGAAGCTCTCAGTGGAGAAAAAAATGTGACTCCACTTACTTTCTCAGGTTATTTAAGGAAAAACATTTTAAAAACATACAGAACTCTGAGCAATATTTGGAACCCTGTTATGTGTATGCATATGGTCCATGTGTACCTAAGTGTGTCTAAGTGTGCCTTTCAGTATTTATTTCCCACTCTTTCCCATTGCTATTCCTCTTTTTCCCCTTGTTTGAGCATCTGAAGAGGTGAAGAGCATGCCAATGAGAAGATCTTCCTACTTTAAGAGGACCTTAGTACCTCCACACATCCTTCATTCTGGGAATTTTCTGTAGCTGGTACCTTTCAACCCAATTTGACACTAAGTCCAGAGGAGATTGATGGCTGCAGTTCTCCCTTAATAAGATCTAATCACAAGCCTGCAAGGTTGGCGGAGACTACCCGATAGAAACCTCCTAGAAAGTGTGGCCTATGGAGCCAGAGTCCTGTTCTCCCATGTGGATTTCAGGCCTGGAGGAAGGAAGGTCTTCTGAGATGTGTCCCCAGCTGCTCATTCTGCATTCTTCCAAAAACAAGGAAGTTAAATTGCCACTTCATAGTTGCTGCTTTTCACACTTTCTGACCTGACTGGGTTTTGGAGGGATGGCCAAATTTGGTATAGCAGAGAATTTTCAGAAGTAGATATGAAATCAAAAGCTCAGTTGTGTTGGAGCCTAATTATGCAGTTATGCTCTTCTGAATTCCCTGTTCCCAAAGTGGTGTGCAGTTACAGTGAACGGACTTACACTGAAAAAGTGTGTATGTTTGGTTTCAAAGAAGCTGCCAAATTGAAACCACAAATATTTAAGGTGGTCAGGCAGGAATGGCCTTCTGAAGCCCCAAGTGGCAGAATGTTGGTATCAAGGTTTTGAAAACTGTATTCTCTTTTTATTGAGCTGACATTTCCCTGTTTGTGTACTATATGTAGAATCGAAGACTTTATAAAGAGCACGGGGAAGCCAAGTTCAAGCTGCTCTTTGCCAGACAGCTCTAGTTGCATATATTTCATGTCAAGATTTTGTAGAGAAAGTTGTAGGTTTCTTTACTTTTTAAAAGGAATATGGTAGGATCTTTCTAAATGTAGGCCCTTACAGAATTAGAATTTACAGAAAAGAGGAAAAAAGTAGCAACTTTTCCCATTCATTCCTATCAGGTATCCAGGTTGGTCATTGCACTTTCCCTTTGTTTTAGAAGGGTGGGGACCAGACTCCTGACCCTCCTCCAGGCAGAAAAGGAGGAGTCTTTCCCTTTGAAAACCTCAATGGCAGATAACATAGGGTTTGTTGTCGGGATATAGATTCCTGGTTGAAGCACAGGCCTAAAAATGCCTACTAGTGCATGCCATGGCAGCAGCTTGGGCCCTACCAAATCTTAAAAAGTTCTGGTTTCTGATCTTGACCAGACTGTGGGCAGCTTTTAAGGGTTTTTAATTGCTCATTGCCAGACCAGGATTAGGAAGATTTAATCTCTGATCCTTTTCTAGTACTGTGCTATGGATATCTAAGTGGACTTCTGGCATTTTTATACAGAAAGGCTAGCCCCTTTTGACTTATTGCTGAGACCCTGATGAGATGAATACGATTTGATATTAGGAATGACAAGAAAACCATTCTTTCCAAAGGCTACATAAAACTCCTCTATCTAAGATAACATATCTAGCTAGCATCTAGATAGTACCTAACACTGCTTGGGACAGTTGATGTGGGGAGGTACGAATGGATTTTTCCCAGTGAAGACAAATGAATATAGTTGGCAATATAACTTCCAAAAGAAAAATTACGGGGAAAGTATCTTCCTAAAGGGTAGGTTATGGTGTATAGTAATATCCTATCAGAGTTGTCCAGTAGAACTTTCTGCTATAATGGAAATGTTCTGTATCTGTGCTGTCCAATATACTGGCCAATTAGACATGTGTGGCTAGTGAGACTGACAAACCAATTTTAATTTTAATTCAAATACTTTAAATTTGAAGCTGGGTGCGGTGGCACATGCCTATAATCCCAGCAGCTCAGGAGACTGAGGCAGGAGAATTGCAAGTTTAAAGCCAGCCTCAGCAACTTAGTGAGACCCTGTCTCAAAATAAAATATAAAATGGGCTGGGGATGTGGTTCAGAAGTTAAGTACCTCTGGATTCAGAAGTTAAGCACCTGGTACCCCCCTAATTAATTAATTAAAGTAGCCACACATGGCTAATGACTGACATTGAATAACAATTCTAGATGAAGGTTTTTTGTACTGCTCCTTGGAGCCAGTATAGTTCAGAGGAACATTAAAGAAATTTTATCTGGTCATATTTTATTAAACCCAATGGCTTAGATCCATCTTTCCTGTGGCTGATTGCTTCTTCCTCTGGTTATACCACTTCCCACTCTGGGTGAGCAGGGAAGATATGAAAGAGCCACATACTTCTTCCTGTCAGCATAGAGGATGGCAAAAAATGTAGAGTCTGTAACTGAGCCCTGCAGCTCTACCCCTAGTGTGATTTTTGTCCTGAATAAGTGTACTGAGAGATTTTACCAATTACATGGAATATCTTTTCATGTGTGCATTAGCCATTCATAACTCTTCTATAAATTCTTTTTCTATTTTTTGTCTTTTTGATTCTTTGTTAAGTATTTTCTCTAAGTCAATATTTGTTGTTGTTTTTTTAACAAAAAACAAAAAATTTTTGGTTTATTTTGCCATTGCAAGTTTAAATTTTTGTCTTCAAGTCTACCTTCTTCCTTGTTTTCTATATTTTATGTTACACTTAGGAAGGCCTTCCCCACTCTTAAGAATTTTATTTATTTATTTATTTTTAGTTGTTGATAGACCTTTATTTTATTTATTTATATGCAGTGCTGAGAATTGAACCCAGTGCCTCACACATGCCAGGCATGTGCTACTGCTGAGCCACAGCTCCAGCCCCTAAGAATTTTTTTTTGAGATGGGGTCTCACCATATTGCTTAGGCTAGTCTTGAACTGTTGGACCTAAGTTATCTGTGACCCTCCTGCCTCAGCTTCCTGAATACCTGGAACTACAGATGTGTGTTGCTGCACCTGGCCAAGATTTTACTTTTTAGTCCAATATTTTCAGGTGTGGGGGGGGGAAGAGAAATTAATTTTGATGTTCTCTTTTTAATTTTTCTTTTTGCCTATTTCAGTTAGTTTAGAACTTTGTTGGGTTGGACCTATTGGATATCAAAAATGATTGACTGATAGCAGCCCTGTATAATTTAGCCTAATACATTGATTAAAACATTTTACCCTGAAAATATCAAACATACACAAAAGTTGATAGACTATTATACTGAACCCCCATGGTCCTGTCATCCAGCTATAACGTTACCAATATTTTGCCAATATCGTTTTATCTCTCCTACTTTTTAATTTTGCTGGAGTATTTAATAACAAATCATATTTTAATACTTCTTTACTGAAGTTTTTACTCTATTTTATGTTTACAGAACTTGTTGTTTGTACTGACCTAATGAATCTCCCTAGAAAAGCTTCAGTATCAACACTACTTTCATGCCCAGATAGGACACTGGTTAAGACACTGGCATATCAAAAACTTAAGGGAATTTTTATAATTCCATGGTAGGAAATCCTAATTCTGAAAGTAGTCAGTATTGAGATTTCTGTGCCATCTCAAAAATGAACAATGGAAAAGATCTTCCACTTCTTAAGAGTTGAGTCCCTTAGGATTTAAGATCATGTTTTCAGACCTAGTGGTTTGATCTCTGAGTTTTTTTTTTGTTTGTTTGTTTTTTTAAGAGGGGGGGGAGAGAGAGAGAGAGCGAGAGAGAACTTTTAAGTATTTATTTTTAAGTTTTCGGTGGGCACAACATGTTTATTTTTATTTTATGCGGTGCTGAGGATCGAACCCAGCGCCCCGCGCATGCCAGGCAAGTGCGTTACTGCTTGAGCCACATCCCCAGCCCCAATCTCTGAGTTATTTTTAGCTTATTTCCTAACAAGAGTATTTAGAACATAGTTCTTAAGCCCAGTGGCCTGCTGTGATGCTGTCATTGGGAGAAAGGTGCAAGCTAAAGTAGTAGAAGGAAAAACTGAGATTGAGCAAAGGTTGCAAGAGCTATTGTCAGATTTGAGAGATGTTTAGGTGAAGGGTGAAAAGGGAAAGATAAATAAGAAAATAAAAGGAAACAATAGAAAAAAAGCAAACTTAGTGAAAGACAAAAGAGAATCCTATGTTGAGAAGAAAGGGAAAATATGTTCAGGTCATTCTAAAACCTACATTGTAAATATATAGTTAAATCAACCTGCCTGTTCCTTTTCAGAATTATAGCATTCAGCCGGCCTGTGAGGTATGAAGATGTGGAGCACAAGGTGACAACAGTATTTGGCCAACCTCTTGATCTACATTACATGAACAATGAGGTAAGAGAGATGAACCGTGCAGGGACAGGAGAAATAGCTGCTTAAAGAAATTAAAAAAAAAAAAAAAAAAAAGGAAGAGATGCCTACTTTTCTTTCTTTCTTTCTTTCTTTCTTTTTTTGTAAGAGAGAGAGAGAGAATTTTTTTAATATTTATTTTTCAATTTTCGGTGGACACAACATCTTTATTTGTATGTGGTGCGGAGGATCGAACCCAGGCCGCATGCGTGCCAGGCGAGCGCACTACCGCTTGAGCCACATCCCCAGCCCCCCTACTTTTATTTCTTACTGCTTAATTGAGCATTTTTTATATTTTTTAGTTTGTTCCTCTAATATCATCTGCAGGTTTTCATTTTCTGGAGCCCCTTTTCTTAATTCTAACAACTCTGGGATTTCTGGGTTTTTTTTAACTACGTGAGAGATAACATAGTTATTTCCATTCCCCCTACTCATTCAGTGTAGGTAGATCTAATATTTCATGGTGGAACCAGGTATGATACCAGGGCCAGAACTTATTCTGTCTCCTTTACATTTTATAGGTGTATCTTTCTTTTCAGCACAGACTTATCAAAAAATAGAGTATTAACTGAGCATAGTGACACACATCTATAATTCCAATGATGGGAAGCTGAGACAGGAGGATCGCAAGTTCAAAACCAGCCTCAGCAACTAAGACCTTTTCTCAGAATAAAAGGGCTAGGGATGTAGCTTGGAAGTTAAGTGTCCCTGGGATCAATATCCAATATCCAAAAATAAAAGAATTCCAGATGTAGAGTTGGGGATGTCGCACAGTGGAAGAATGCTTGTGTAGCATGTGCAAGGCACTGAATTCAATTTCTAGTACTGGAAAAAAAAAAAAAAGTCCCTAAAAAAAAAATACCACATGTTCCTAAATGTCCCTAAATCTATTTTGAAACTCTTTAGTCAGTTAACAACTGTTTAGAATATTGAGCATTCCCTATTTTAAATGTTTGTATAGATGTTAATTTAAAGCCAAATCTAGATAATTATTTTAGATCATGCATCTAAACTATTTTTTGCTGTCCATACTTTACTAATGTCAATGATCAGGAGTTGACCAATTTATATTTTGTTAATTTAAAATTCCTTGTTTTGGTTGTACTATTGGCCTTCATTGGCAAGCCCCTATGTGAAAGAGATGGAGATAGAAAATGGATCCATCTGGCTATAAGCCTGTGCTTATTCCATTTCAACACAGCTTTAATGCTGCATTCAGGGTGGAAACCTGAGTTACCAGAGTTGAGATTTATTGTAAGCAAGTGAGGATTTTCTCTGGCAGTCTAAGGACCAGCAGCAGTGGGTATACATTGCATAAGACAATAAATAAAGAAATCTTTTTTGTTCTTCAAAAAAATAAATAAATAAAATTCATTTTCTTTCTTTTGTTTTGCTCCTAAACTCTACCCTGTCAGGATTTGAGAATCCCAAGTGAAAAACTCATTGAGGTTTTATTTAATTTATATATATAAGGGGCTGGGGTTGTGGCTCAGCGGTAGAGCTCTCGCCTAGCACGGGCAGAGCCCTGGGTTCGATCCCTGGCACCCCACATAAAAATAAATAAATAAAATCAAGGTATTGTGTCCAAGTACAACTAAAAAATAAATATTAAAAAATTTTATATATACATCATATACATATATATTATATATATCACCCCCACCCCGTTACTGGGGCTTGAACCCAGGTATTCTTTCTTTCTTTTTAATTTTTTAGTTGTAGATGGACACAATACCTTGATTTTATTTATTTATTTATTACCAGTGAGTTATACCCGCAGCTCCTTAAAAAAAAACAAAAACTTTTTTTAGCTGTAGATGGACACATACCTTTATTTTATTTATTTATGTTTTGCTGATGATCAAACCTACTGCCTTGCGTATACTAGGCAAGCACTCTACCACTGAGCTACAACCCAGCCCATCTTTTTCTTAGTAGATTGAAATTGTGTGTCATCATGATTTAGATTTGCTTTATACTAATGACTACTGATGTTGAGCATCTTTTCGTGTGTGTTGGGCCATTTGTTTATCTTGGGACATATATCTGCTCAACTTCTTTGCCCATTTAAAAAAATTGATTGTTGTTTTATTGTTGAATTTTAAGAGTTCTTTGTGTATTCTGTGTACCAGACTCTTACGCATTTGTAAAATTATAGCTGTTTTGAAAGTTAATACCTATTCCAATGATCTCTTTATACTGTCTGCAAACAGTTCTTATTTATTCCTATTTTGACTATCCCCCAGGAAGGAATTATTTTGCAGTATGATATATTTGCAAAACATTCTTCCTTTCTATGAGTAGTTTTGAAATTTTTATTTAAATACTATTCTTGCAGTTGAGTACACCTATAATCCCAGCTACTCTGGAATCTGGGGCAGGAAGATCACAAGTTCAAGGACAGCTTGCCAATTTTGTGAGACCCTGTCTCAAAATAAAAATAGAAAAGGGCTGGGGACGGCTGGGGATGTGGCTCAAGCCGTAGCACGCTTGCCTGGCATGCGTGTGGCCCGGGTTCGATCCTCAGCACCACATATAAACAAAGATGTTGTGTCTGCCGAAAAACTAAAAATAAATAAATAAATATTAAAAAAAAAAAAGAAAAGAAAAGGGCTGGGGATGCTCAGTACACTCACATACACTGTTCTTACTATTTGTTTTTCCCAGTTTAGGATTTGGGGTTCTGTCATCTATCTGTATTTTAAATTGGAAAATGAATAAATTAAATGGACTTTGCTTGATTTTGTTTTTATGACACATGTGTAAGATCTGGCATTTGCTAGTCCTGGGCAAAGCATATTTTTGCATCTAAGTATTCAGTGCCCTCTGCATTTAACAGTGAGTGAGACTTATCTGTATCCTTAAAACCTTCTCTTTAATACTTCAATGGAATGAAAAGAGAGTAGGTAGTTTTCAGGTTCTAGTCACTGAATTTCCCTTTAAACATTAAGATATTAAACATTCAAACTAAATTTGTGCTCTTATTTAAAAAATTTTTTTTAGTTGCAGTCAGACACAATACCTTTATTTTATTTATTTCTATGTGGTGCTGAGGATCAAACTCAGCACCTCTCACATGCTAGGTGAGCGCTCTACCACTAAGCCACAACCTCAGCTCTTGTGCTCTTATTTTAATGAATTTTCATTCTCTTCCATTCCCCCATCCTCCTTATACCTTTCTCTTCCTGCTTGTTCTGTTTTTGTCAGCACAATGGGAGATAGGGTGGGACATGACTCAACTGCTTACTTTGGGTAAAAATATGGGACCTTTAACTGTTTAAGATTTGATGCTTTGGAATAAAGGGTATTTTTAGAGAGGACGCTCTTCTCAGAAAATATCTCAAAAAAAGTACTGAGTCTGAGCATGGTGGCACACACCTGTAATTCCAGCGGCTTGGGAGGCTGAGGCAGGAGGATTGCAAGTTCAAAGCCAGCCTCAGCCACTTAGCAAGGCCCTAAACAGCTTAGTGAGACTAATCTCTAAATAAAATATGAAAAAATGAACTGGGAATGTGGCTCAGTGGTTAAGTGCCACTGGGTTCAATCCCCAATACCAAAAAAAAAAAAAAGAAAGAAAGAAAAAGTACTGAGATGTGCTACAGCATGGATGAACTTAGAAACATTAAGCTAAGTGAAAGAAGATAGATGTAAATGATTGCAAATTTTTGAGTTGAATTGAATATGTATAAATTGCATGATTCCATTTAAATTAAATGTCCAGAAAATCTATAGACACAGAAAGTAGATTAGTAGCTGCCTGGGGCTGGAGGTGGGAAGAGGGAGTGACTGTAAATGGGTACAAGAAATATTTTGGTGTGATGGCAATCTTTTAAAATTTAATTGTGGGCTGGGGTTGTGGCTCAGTGGTAGAGCACTTGCCTAGCATGTGTGAGGCACTGGGTTTGATTCTCAGCACCACATATAAAAAAATAGACAAATAAAGGTCTATCAATAACAAATAAATATATATATATAAAAATTTAATTGTGGTACCAGTTGTGGTGGTGCATACCTGTAATCCCAGCAACTGGGGAGGTTAAGGCAGGAGAATTGCAAGTTCAAAGCCAGTCTTAGCAATTTTGTGACACCCTGTCTCAAAATAAAAAATAAAAAGGCCTGGGTATGCATCTCTCAATGGTAAAGTGCCCCTGGGTTCTATCCCTAGAACCCCTACTCTGGGGAAAAAAAATAATTATGGTAATGGTTGCACAACTCTGAAAAGTTACTAAAAAATATTGAATTGTATACTTGAAGGAAAAAAATTACGATTTCATGTAGATCTTTTAAGACCCATAGTATCCAATGAGATTGTTTTTTTCTCCAAACTTATTTTTAATTTTTATGTTTGCAAATTAAACATTGAAATAGAGTTGTATTTTATGATTTAATTTTTCTGTGTCCCATGTCACAGCTCTCCATCCTGCTGAAAAACCAAGATGATCTTGATAAAGCAATTGACATTTTGGATAGAAGCTCAAGTATGAAAAGCCTTAGGATATTGTTGCTGTCCCAGGACAGAAACCATGTAAGTAGCCTGTGTTATGGGCCAGCAACTGAAGACAAAGCTTGCATTCCTTCAGGCTTACCTTGTTGCTTGACAGAATCTTATATTCCATGGCCTCTGCCAAAGTATGGGCATAACACAGGCCAGCCCACTATTGTTGGTGGCCAGCAAACCTTCTGTGTTTGATTTCATAGAGAGCCAGATTCAGTTTCAAATTTACAACTAATGGTAATTTAGCTAATAGGGTGGGAGGAAGGAAAACACTTTATGATAAAGGAGAAAATTCTTTTCTCTATATTTGTTTTCAATTAGATTTTGCCCCCACCACAAGAGAGTTGATTAGTGTAGAGGTGATGTTTAGTAAAGGTTCTCAAGGACTTGAGACTATCACATCTTGTGAATCCAACTCCCACAGCTCAGCAGTCTGGCCTCTCCCTTGAGACACATCTAGGAAACAAATTTTCCATCTGTGCAATAGAAAAAAAGGCCATGGGCTGGAGGGCTTCTTGTAACTTGCCAGCTGCTGCCCTACCAAGTGGCAGGCAATCTATAGGGGCTGTCAGAAATGGGGAACTACACCATACACTTTTTTCCTGCTGAATTGTCTGAGAGCCTACATTTCATGAGAACACTTGCAGTTAGAATTTGTCTTCTTCACTAATTCCTCTGCCAGATTTCTTCAGATGTGTGTTCCTGAAAGTTTCTTGGCTCTCTTTCCTTGCCTTACACTTGAAGATATGCAACTGTGGACAACTGACACGGCTGCATGAGAACTATGAATGTACTATAGCAGGGTAGAGTTTAGGTGGAATGGTACTCATGACCATCTACTTTCTGAAGAGACTTGTGTAATCGGATGTCTTATTGATTAGGAGGAGACCCAAGAGAATGGGTATGTCCCTGTGCATAAGGAGAGTTCTTTTTGATCCCCAATGTATCTTTTTTTTTTTCTGAATATGTTTTGGGAAAGTATCATTTCATGTTATTATATTTCATTTCTCTGTTCAAGTTACCTCCTCCATATAGCCCTTCTTTATTGCCTATCATGTAAAATCTGAATTTAGTCTAACATCCAGGGTTCAACACTGAATGTCTCTGCTTTTATCTCCCCAGTCTTATCTATCTACATTCTTCATCATACTATAGAGCCCACCATTCTTCCTTTCACCTCTTTGCCAGTTCATTGCTATCATCTTTTATTTTAGGATCCACTTTGATTTACCTGCTATCATGTAGTCAGCATTTCTGACTGAGGCCATTTTGATTATTCTTAATTCCTTTAGTCATTGGATATAATTTGTCCACTGGTCTGTAGGTTGTTCAGTTGTTGCCATCTAGTTGTTGCACAGTTGTAAGTTTTGCCCTACAAGATTATAACTCCCCAAGAACAGGAACTATATCATTGTTTTGGAGCCCTTCCCCACCTATTCACTAAATAAAATGTTAGTGCTTCTTGAATTGTTAGCAAGAGTTAAGCAGAGATCATTTTTAGCAAAATCCTTCCTTACAAAAGAAACTAGAATTGAAGTGTTGTTGAATGATTGCTTGACTGAGGGCTAGCACTCCTGATTGTGATTGTGATCCTCTGATCTCCTAATAAGAAGTCATAAAAACTGGTTCTTTACATCAGCATTCCTGTCACTAAGGGGGTGCACATGGTTTCAGACATTGCCACAACACTCAGAGGTGTTTGAAAGATTTACTCCAAGTGACTTGGGAACTGAAGCAGGAAGATTGCAAGTTTGAGGCCAGCCTGGTTTACTTAGCAAGAACTTGTTTTAAAATTAAAAGGACTGGAGTTGTAGCCTAGTGGTAGAGTGCCCCTGGGTTCAAGCCCCAGTATGGATAAAATGACAACAATAACAACAAAAATTAGTTATTTAATTAAATTATGGTATATCTATTAAAGAGAAATATGTATGCTTATAAATTATAATTATGAAATTATATATTAGTAATGTTTTGAACAGCCAACAATAAAAAATTTAAAAAAAAAATTATATATTAGCATAGAAAAATGTTTGTGATTTAAGTGAAAAAATAAGTTAGAAAATTGAATGACTACCATGAAAACATTAACATAAATATATATACATATGGCCAAAACCTGAAGAGGCATATGCAAAAATAAATAAAAATAATAAATGTGTTATGGTGATTTTAAATTTTATAAAACTTATATTGAATTTATTTTTTAAAATTTTTTTTAGTTCTAGATGAACACAATACCTTTATTTATCTATTTTTTATGTGGTGCTGAGGATGGAACCCAGTGCCTCACACATGTTAGGCAAGTGCTATACCACTGAGCTACAACCCCAGCCCCTTATATTGAATTTATTATGATTTCTGAAAACAAGGTCCTTAGAAAAAGAGGCATCGATGTGGCATTTGTCTTTTTTTTTTGTTACTGGGTATTGCACCCAGCAGCACTTTACCACTGAGCTATACTCCTAGCCCTTTTTATTTTTTTAGTTTGAGATAGATCTTAAAATTACTGTAGTCCTTGGAAAATCTTGCCTGTGCCTCTCTATAGCTGTATATCATTAGTAGTCAGAAAGTATGATGTTACCTATGAGGAAAGCTTGTAAGATAATGTATCATTTTATTCCCCACATCTCAGAAGATAACTGACTAGAAAAAGTCCTAGAGAAGACAGAAATTTCAAAGGGTTGGGATCACTTTTTTATGTGAAAAGTTAAAAAGCTTGAAACTCTTTGGTTAGAAAGACAGTCTAAGCATGAATATAATCTAAAATATCAAAGCGTTTAAGAATATAGATAATGAACACACAGATTTATTCACCTAGGCTCAATTTGGTTGAATGTGCCTGGAATACTGGCAGAACTTGTATAATAGTTGGTAAACATGGCTTTGTATTCTGAAATTATGTAATTTCAAAATGGATTTTTTTTTTTTTTTTTTTTTTGAGATAGGGTCTCGCTAAGTTGCTTAGAACCTTGCTAAGTTGCTGAGGCTGGCCTCAAACTTGTGATCCTCCTGCCTCAGCCTCATGAGCAGAACTAAACCATTAAAGCAGGATGGTATGGATAAGATCCTGTGTGCCATTCCTTACCTTATATTTTCATGCACCAAACTAAAGCAACCTCTCTCCCTCCTGTTTTCCCTCTGCTTAGTTGAATCTACTTGTTCTTTTGTGTCTTATCTCCAAATCTTTTATTGAGATCATTCATGCGTCAACTTTTATAACTTACTTTTCTGCTGATCTCCTATCTTCCATTCACTGTTCATCTTGATGCATCTAGTTTCTTAGTAACTTTTCATATTATTTGTGTCAGCCACAACATACTGCTTCCCATAGAGTCCTTCAGTGAAATTTTCATGGAATGATCAAATACCACCTTCTAGCTGCTGTGTTTAGAATGTTCTGTTACACATGTCACACCTGTGGCTCCTATCACTCTATGACAGTCCCCTGTCATTTTTTTGGTATTGTCCCACCTTCCTCCTTTCTCTTTCCTATTTCTGAATCTTGTTCAAGTTTCTGTAATTCTTTGTAACAACTTCATTTTTGTTTACCATGTCATATTTCTTATTTCTTAAATCAAGGTTTTCAAAACTTGGCTGACTATTATAATCACCTGGAGACATTTAAAAATTATCAGTGCTTGAGCCCCATCCCTAGAGGTTCTTTTGTAGTCGGTCTGAGACATCGTAAATTCCACAGGCAATTCTAATGGGCAGCTAGAGGTGAGTAGCATTATCTGATATTGAAGCAAGCCTCAGCTCCTGAAACCTCACAACTAATAGTGTGGTCTGTGGACAGCAGCATCAGCATCACCTGGAAGGTCATTAGAAATATAGAGTCTGAGCTCTACCACAGACCTACCTACCCAAATCAGAATCTGCACTTTAACAAGGTTCCACGGTTTGTACATATATGTATTAGAGTATGACTATGAAACCTTCACCCAGTCCCTTCACCTGCTTTTCAGCCTGTTGCCAAATTTCAGCCTTTCCTTTCACAAATCTAAGCGTGGGCTGGCATGAACTTTCCTACCTCAACCTTTAAATTTTAAAACAGAAGGTTTAGCGTGGATGTTCTTTGGCACGTTTCAAATTTATACTACGAAGATTCAGTGAAGTCTCACAATGTGTAAAGTCCTTCACCCAAGCAGGTGCACTGGGGGTGCTCATCATGCAGCTCTTCTTTTTCTGACTGCAGAGCTATGGCCCTCCTTTGCCCTTTACAAACCTGCTTTCCCCTGTGTATGGATTTGATTGTTTTTACCTTTCTCTGGGCAGAACTATTGCACTTCAGAGGCTTCAGCAAGAATATTCACTTCCCTTTAGTTTAGACTTCCCCTTAGAGTAAGATAATTTGTCAAGACAGCCCTACATGTGATAAAATCTTGCATAGGGAGACTATAGAGAAGGCTGTTTGGCAGCTGGACATGCCCCTGGGAGCAAAAAAAGGGAAACCTTTTTTTCTGGGGGACAGGATATAGAGATTGTCTAGATCAGACTTTTTTTGTTTTGTTTTTTTTCCTTCTCCTATGGGTAGAGGACATAGAGAAGCAAGTAGAAATGTTGACCTAAATTGTTGATAAATCCTGAGCTCCCATTCAAACTTTCAATAGTGCTTTGCATATATTTGTAATTACACCCTGACATCTCTCACTCACTTCTGCTGTTCGGTTTTAAGCTTTCTCAGTGCAAAGCCCCCCATTATTGCTTTGATTTCTCTCTAGGGCTCCCTTGCTGACTTGACTGGGTTGGCACCTCATGGGGGTAGGTACAGGAAAGCTGCTGACCCTATTCTGAGGTCCTTGACCTCTAGCACAATGGTGCCTCCCATAGTTTTTCCTGGTTGAATGTGATCCTAAGATGATTTATGTGTAAACCTTGGTATTTTGAAGCAACCAAGATGTTTATACCTTAATTTTCAGGGAGTGATTATGATTGGGGAAGGAGCATATTAAGCTACTTTTTAAAGTATCGTTGTTAAGTATTTAGCGATGATAATTTTGTTGGGCAGGGAAGTTACCATCATTCTCTTTTCTGACCCCCTTGCAGCAGGTGATTTGGCTGCTGAAATAATTTCCTGCAATTCTTCCAAAGCTCTCTAGAGAATTTTATGAGAGGGTATTTACAGCTCTCTCTTCTGTTTGGTAGATTTTTACAGGAATGCCTGTTATTCCTCCATGTCTGGGTCATTACCCATTAAACTGGGCACCAGATCTCATTGCTTATTTATCACTGAAGCTGTAATACTACATTGAACAAATAGTGAATTGTCAAAACAGATTGAGGGAAAACCAGGTAGCTCATTTGTTTTAAAAGTATGAACATGGCTGGGTGTAGCAGCACACACCTGTAATCTCAGCGACTTAGGAGGCTGAGGCAAAAGGATCACAAGTTTGAAGCCAGCCTTAGCAACTTAGTGAGACCTTATCTCAAAATAGAAATTAATAAGAGTGCCCTTGGGTTCAGTCCCAAGTATTACCAATAAAAATGTATGAAGGTGGCTGAGAGAGCAGGGAATCCTAGAGAAAAGTCAGGGAGCCTTATAGGCCTGCCTGCTGAGAGATTTAGTTCAGCGTTTTTCCTCTTCTCTTACAGACCAGTTCTTCTCCCCACTCTGGGGTGTCCAGGCAGGTGCGGATCAAGGCTTCCCAGTCTGCAGGGGATATAAATACCGTCTACCAGCCCCCTGAGCCTAGAAGCAGGCACCTCTCTGTCAGTGAGTATCTCACTTCTTTATCCCCCTCCTCTCATTTATTTTATCGGCTCACACTTTAAAAATTCAACAAATATTTGGACAACCCCTGTTGGGTCCCCTCTCACCCTGCAGGAGCTTCTCTTCTCAGTTAAATAATTCCTACTCTTTTAAAAAAATATTTTGTTAGTAGTTAGTAGGCCTTTTTTTTTTTTTAATGTGTTTTTAAACAGTCATCAAGTATGTATCAACTACTACTCTGTGCCAAATAATCCTCTGTGCTTTTATTTATTTATTTAAAATATATATATTTTTAGTTGTTGATAAAGCTTTATTTTATTTATTTATATGTGGTGCTGAGAATCGAACCTAGTGCAATGTGTGCTACCACTGAGCCCCAGCACCAGCCTCTCTGCTTTTATTTGGGGAGGAGGGATGGGAAATGACTAGAATGTTATCCTGATCCTTAAGGATCTAACAAATATAATGATATAATGATCTGATTAAATTTCTTTTAAATATCCCTGAGAAGGTGATCTCCTCAGACATCTGTTTGGAGACTCCAATGGAGTCTACACTCATTTTTGATAATTCTTTCTCCTAAAGGACCAGAGACTTACAAAGTTAGGAGACAGGTCTGAGTTTGAGTTTTGACTTTCTGCTTATAAGTCCTGAAAAGTCCTTATACTTTAAGGAAGTTGCTGGCTAGAAGACTCTTGGAGAATCAAACTAAGTTGTCTGAGAAGGACAGAGTGTTAGCATATACAATTAATTAACTACTGGAAAAGCTATTTGAAGCTGGTGCCAAATTTCCCTAGAAAAGAAGCCTAAATCAGGTCTGTGAATTATACCAAGTAACATAATGTCCCTCTGGATCCCCTTTCCCCAGAGTTTGATTGGAGAGTTCATTTACTGAATTGTGGAGTTGTATCAAGAGGGAGGGAAAACTTGCTGGACATGGGGCTCACACCTATAATCCCAGCAAATCTGGAGGTTGAGCAGGAGGATGGCAAGTTCAAGATCAGTCTGGGCAATTTAATGAGACCCTCAAAATAAAAAACAAGAAGGACTGGGGATGTAGCTCAGTGGCAGAGCATTCCTGGGTTCAATACCTGGTACTATTAAAAAAAAAAAGTGGGAAATCTGGCCTTATCAAATATTTGTGTTATATCTGTTGCCCTAATGTTGAGACCCTGTGCTACTAAGGAACCAAATTTTCCCTTTTCCATATAAGCAGAATTGCATTAAACTGAACTACTCTGAAGATTCAGAGCTAAGCTTGGAGAGGTCTGAGCATTGGTCCTGCTACTAAATCTGTCTGTGAGTAATATGTCTCCTGAGGAAAGAGCAGGAAAAACTGTTGCTGAGGCACTGATTTTGCCTCACTGAGTAATTTCTGGAACTCAAGCAAACACTGATAGTGTTTCCAAATGAATTTCAGATTTCTGTGGATAATTATAGATAATTGGTGGATATGTTTTCAGTATGTTGGTTGAGGAGAGCCACCAAGGAGAACCTATCCAGAGCATCCCTGGAATCTGGGTACCCTGGAGCCTGGAAAACTCTGCCAGCTTGACTTCTTTTCCAGAGACCTTATAGAGATTAAAGGAATGGAGGGCAGCAGCATTGTTCTTTGTAGAACAATGAAGTATGACATGGGGTAGTAATTCAGTCTTCTCCCAAGCATGAGCCTGTGATTAATGTGTAGAGACAGGGGCTAAATGCTGAGCCATTTGGACTTTTTCTCCATGTTGCAGGGGGACATGTATGGAAATTATTTTCCTGGCTAAGAATGCTGAGAATAAGATTTCTATATAGATCCTGTTTCTCTAGAAAATGGACAACACAGACTTACCCCACCTAGATTCTGGCTTCCTTCATTCAGCAAGCATTATGTACCAATTGGTGGGCTGGGTGAATGTGACAGTGGACCATGTACAAAGGCAATGGTAGTAGGAGCACAGAGGAGGAAATCACTGATTCTGCCCAGGAGAGGAAGACTTTCACAGCAAAGGAAACATCTGGGCTTACACACTGTATATAGCGATAGACATTCCAGGCAGGGGAAAGAGTACCTTCTAGGTGTGATCATAAAAGATTGTGGTGGGCTTGAAGAACTCCAGGCACTTTGGAGCATGTGGAGTGGTATAGATGCATCAAGAGAAGGGGGCAGAACCAGAAAATTGTAGAGAGGACTTCTAACTGGGATGACCTGGGAAATGCCTTCTGGGGAGGAGCTTTTTTAGCTAGATTTGAGAGATAATGGAGGATTTCCATAGAAGGATGAGCCGAGAGGGCTTTTAGACTGTGCCTGTGGAGAGCTCACAATCCTTCACATCCAGATGGGTTCATGCATTTGGAGAAAGGATGCCTGGGTTGCTTTCTGGTGGTGCCCTGATTGTACTTAGTTATGCTTCTTTTTTGTTTTTGTTTTTTGTGTGTGAGGTATTGAGGTTTGAGCCAGGATCTTATTATTTTTTTTTAACAGAATGCCTTTATTTTGTTTATTTTTATGTGGTGCTGAGGATTGAATCCAGTGCCTCACACTTGCTAGGCAAGCGCTCTGCCACTGAGCTACAGCCTCAGCCCAAGTCTAGGGTCTTGCATATACTAGACAAGTCCTGTACTACTGAGCTGCACCTTCAATCCTTTTAATTTTGAGATAGGGTCTCACTAAATCGCCTAGACTGGCTAAAAACCTATGAACCTCCTAATTAGCTGTAATTATAGGCATGCACCACTGTGCCTGACATGCGCTTAGTTTTTTTTGGTAGTCAGTGGAAACTGCTGAAAATCTTCGTTCCTCGTACCCTTCACCATTATAATCTTTATCACATTATTATCTTATTTCTGTCCTATTAAACTACATTTTTGTTCATTCATTACCAAAGTATCTGCTATGTGTCAAAAACATGAAAAACAAAAAAGACTTGGGCTTTGTTCCTGAAAACAGACATTTACTTGTCATGATGTGATGAATGTATAATTCCAATATGTGACCAGAAGATGCATAGTACTGTGTGTTTAGATGAGAGATAGAACCTGACCCTGGGGCCTGGAAAGGCTTATACTTCTACCTAAAGCACAAACAAAGGGTTCCAGGCAGAAGGTACTACACATGCAAAAGCCTGATGACTGGAGGGAGTGTAGATTAGAGAAAGGGAAAGAAGTCCTGATAGCTGGAGAGCTAGGAACAGAGGAAGGAGGCCAGAATTTGGCTGAAGAGAGAGGCAGACCCATGTGGACTGTGGTTAAGATGTTAACCCTTTTGTCTAAAGCAGTAGAAAAGGAGTCTTAAGGTGAGGAGGAATGGGTGGTGTTACATATTCAGATTTGTATTTTGATAAGATTGCGCTGGCTGTAGAGTGGAGAACAGATTGGGTCAAGAATGGACCCAAGGGAACCATACTAGGATAATGCAGTAGTCCAGGTAAAAGAAAACAGAAGCTTGCATTAGGCTGATAATAGTAGTGGAGTAGAGGAACAGGAAGATTGGAGACTTCTAGAGGTAAAACTGACAGAACGTGGCATGTCAGTGGTTCTCAAAGTTTGGAATGAGAACCCTGGGAAGCCCTTGATACCCTTTCAGGAGATCTGTAAGGTCAGAATTACTTTCAGAATCATACTAAGACCTGATGCCAATTCTCTCACAAGTCAGCAGTGGAGTTTTCCAGAGGTTATGTGTCTGAGGTGATGTCATCCTTCTGATGACTAATGGAATATGTACTTGTGTATTGTGTTTTTAAAATTTCTGAGTTTGCAGGGTGTGGTAGTGCAGCCTGTAATCCCAGCTGGATCGCAAGTTCGAGGCCAGCCTGGGCAATTTAGTGAGACTCTATTTCTAAAATAAAATAAAAAGGGCTGGGGATGTAGCTCAGTGGTAGAGCATTTGCCTAGCATGAGTGTGGTTCTGGGTTCCATCCCTAGAACCACACACACCAAAGGAAAAAAAAAAAAAAAGAAAACTCTGAGCTTTAATTTCTTTTTTAAAAATATTTATTTTTAGTGATAGGTGGACTCAATATTTTCATTTTGTTTTTATGTGATGTGAGGAACAAACCTGGTACCTCATGCATGCTAGGCAAGCGCTGTGCCTCTGAGCCCCAGCCCCAGCCCCTGAGCTTTAATTTCTAATATGGTAAATATCAGTTGACCTTGTTGGGGCTCTGAAAATGATACCTTGAAGTATGGTGCTTTGGCATGCTGAGTACTTTGACCTGAAGGACATTGGTAGGGCCTCAGAAGCAAAGTGTCTTTCTGACATTTGTTTGCTCTTCTTATATCTTGCTCCCCATTCTCCTCTACAGTAGGCTACAGAAATTGGAATTCTCTTTCCCCCAAGCACATTATGGAATTTGTTTTTTTAAAAATGTATAAATTAGCAATTTTGTTGAGGTAAACTTATACATTCCAAGAAATGATCTGGCTCTGAAGCAGGATATTCAAATTGTCTAGATTTTTATATTATCATTTCAAAACCATTATATAAAATAATATTTCAAGTGGCACTTCATAAAATTATAAATATCAATCACATATAAATTAACGCAGATCTCATATTTAAATTATCAATAAATTAAAAATAATTAAAATAGTGTCCTAACGCTCATATTGTCAGTTCTTCGTAGAGAACAAGATAAGGTAGGCACCCAGTTGATAGGACATGTTTTCTGACCAAAGGAAGGAATACTCATGAACCAATAAGCTTAGATGCCCACTATGCTTTTCGAACAGCTCTCAGGGTGAACTGCAGGAAATCCTCAAAGTTGCTCAAGATGAGTTGCATGGTCATGACCTTCTGCCAATCATTCTGTGACTCCAGTTTTGCCAACAGGTTGATATTTGCAGTTCGGCTAGGGAAGACAATTTTACTGGGATCCTTCACCTCTTGTTTCAAGACCTCAATCAGGGCTTTGGAACTGAACTGCACATGTTCAGCTCTGTCCCTGTTCTTGCTTTCCTGAAACTTGTTCCGGATGTACCTCAGGTAGACCTGAAACTCCAGAAGCCCAGAGGTGATTCGCACAAGGCAGTTGTCCCGATTGTATCCAGTTTGGAAGCATCCATCTTTTTCAGTCATCTTTGGAAGGTTCAGATTGTTTTCGGACACTGTCACATGGCTCTTGATACAGGTCTCATCATTCTTGCACAGTTCTTTTCTCATTTCGAAGACTTCCTTGATGAGGTAGGAAATCTGTCCTGCGGTTTTTTCAGAAGAGGCACGTGTTGGTTTATTTCGAGTGACACTGTTCTCTCCATCTTCTCCTTGAAGTTCTGAGGTGGGGAAGGCAGTAGCCACCACTAGGAGCAGCCCCAAGGAGGCAATTGAGAAGAACTTCATGGCTGTTCCTGGAGGGCAGATGGAACTCTCTTTCTTTCCTGGTGGGCTCAAGAGCTGAATGTACATTATGGAAATTAACCCTTCTCCTTTATAATCAGCCATAAAACCTAAAACTATTCCTTTTCCAGCATGTCTGTGTAAGAGCTGGTCTTGAAGAAATTCTCTGACCTATTTTATCTGATAGTAGATCAGAATACCCTCATTCCAGAACAGGTGATGCCCTATACCACAAAGAGACACCAAGAAGCATCTGAATAGTCAGGGATTTACTGGGTTTCCCTCCTCAGTCTGTTACCATTAGGTACACCCATTTTATCTAATCAAAGTTCTACACTGGGGTTTACTGTGATTGATTCCTAAGTATAACAGTAGACAGTTTTCCCTGGGTCTTTGGATCTTCATTCTGAAGACTTTTGTGTCATATAAAACTTTGGTTAAATAAAATTGCTATGCTTTTCTCTTGTTAACCTGTCTTGTAGACATGTATATCCTTGGTTTTAAAGAGTTTAAGTATTCTAAGACCAAAAGACTTTAGGAAATACTTTGGTATTGGATTAAATTTTCAGATGTTGAAAAAGAAGTAAGTTGCTGACTAAATGGCACCACCTTTCACTAAGGCAGGGATACTGAAAGAGCCTGATTTCAGGTGCTGGGAAGGGGCAGAAGTAATGTTTTAATCATGGTGATATTAAAGTACCTTTAAGACAGCCAAGAGGAGATGTCAAATGGGCAATTAGATATATAAGTCTTAAACTGGGGAGAAAATCAGAGCTGAGAAGGAAAAACAGAAAAGAAATCGTCTGTTTGAAAGTATGATCCCAGAGTGACTAAGCAGACTATAGAATGAGAAGAGAAAGGGGCCTAGGACTGAGCCTTAGGAACCAACACTTAGATCCAGTTAGAGGGAAGAGAGGATGAACCTGCAAGGAACAGAGGAAAGGAATGACTAGAGAAGTGGTGAGGAAATTAGAAGTGTGAGGCATTGGCCTTACGTGGAACCAGCCAGATTGGAAAGGACAGAAGGGTAAGTTAGAGAAACTTGCTTAAGCAGGTACAGTATAAGGCTTTCTAGTAGTAAAGGGAAGCAGGAAGAAAGAGGAGTCAAGGTTATAACATGAAGGACTCTAGGAAAAGTGCTAGCAGTAGAAATGGGGTCCAAAGAGAAGTCACTGGTAAGTAGGCCTTCGCAATTCACCCCCCACCCAGTTCTTCTCCCTTCACCCTCCTTCGTCTTCAACATTAGCACACCTAACTATTCTGTGAGAGGACAATGTACAGGTCATTCAGCTCCCACTGCAAGGTTTCTAAGAAGCACTAGGTATCCCAGTCAATTTTAGACATCTCTATTCCTTACATTTGAAAAAATGGATTCCCTTCTCTTGACTACTCAGATAACATCTTTCAATAATAGTTTTTCAAATGTTTGAAATCAGCTATCTTGTTCGCCCCTTGTTTTTCCTATTATAACACACACCCCTTGAGTTCCACTTTTTAAAAGCCAATCTGTTACACTAGTTCATGCTAAAAACAAACAAAAAACAGGCTGGGTTGTTGGTTCATGCCTGTAATCCCAGCAATTCTGGAGGCTGAGGCATGATAATTGCAGTTCAAAGCCAGCCTCAGCAACTTAGTGAAACCCTGTCTCAAAATAAAATTAAGGGCTGGGGTTGTAGCACAGTGGTAGAGTGCTTGCCTAGCATGTGTGAGGCACTGGGTTCAATCCTCAACACCACATAAAAATAAATAAAATAAAGATCTATCAACAACAACAAAAAATAATAAATAAATTTTATTTATTTTTTTAATTTTTTAATAAATATTGTGTGTGGAGATATTGACAGACAGATGAATGGAATTTCCTTCCCTATGTGAAGATGTCCTTCCTGTCTTTGCATGTGGAAATTCTACCATCTTTGAAGCCAAGCTGAAGCAGCATTCTTCCATGAAGTTGAGTGATGCCCTTAAGCCATGTAGCCAGGCTAGAATTAAAGGACTTGTCCCTGAGTATTCTGACTCCTGTTTTTCATAGTGTATCTCATTAAGTGCCTTTGCTTGTTCATACACCATCTTTCTCTTTTTCTTGTCACTTTATCCCAAGTTGAGGCAAGCCAAACAGCAACCCCTAAAATGAGTGGAGGAAATCGGTCTTTTCAAGAAGTTGGGTAGTTGGGACTGGGGATGTGGCTCAAGCGGTAGCGTGTGCGGCCCGGGTTCTATCCTCAGCACCACATACAAATAAAGATGTTGTGTCCGCTGAAAACTAAAAAATAGATATTAAAAAATTAAAAAAAAAGAAGTTGGGTAGTAACAGAAAAATAGAGGTGGGCTAATAGCTTAGGGAGCAGCTGAAATATTATCAGGCTAGAGATCTGAGCAGTTTGTGAAGGGAGAGTAAAGATGGCTGGAAAGGAGAAAGCCAATGTGAAGAGACTGGGTAAGCTGGATCCTGCAGAGGGTGATCGCAGTCCAGGAAGAATGTAGTGGTGCCTTGGCAAGAAGGAGAAAAGCCTCTGATTCAGAGGGAAGAGGAGGAAATAATCAAGCAAAGGGAGAAAAGGATTGCTGACAGTGTGGGATAACTTATTATAGTGACGGCTGGGCAGTGGAGAGCTAGAGCCCTGTGTGTAGTACCAACTTCCAGTCTTAGGACAGGTTTGAAAGGGTAGAAGTCAAACTGCAAAAGTGGCAGTTATACATATGAAAAGAAAATGGTCAATCTCCTTCACTGCCAAAGGGTTTTTTCTCTTTTTCACTATAAATTCTGCTGCCATAGTAGATGAGACCAGAAACTGGTTGGTGGTGATAGCAAATTAATAAAATGGGGGGCTGAGGTTGTAGCTTAGTGGCAGAGCACTTGCCTAGCATGTGTGAGGCACTGGGTTCTATTCTCAGCACCGCATATAAATAAATGAGTAAAACAAAGGTTCATCAACATCTAAAAAAATAAAAATAAATAAATAAAATGGGAATTTTGAAAGTTGAAACACACAGATGTTCTCAGGGTCTTGTGGGATGAAAATGTTTAGAAGCACTGTTCTGCACAGCATAGTCCAGGGTGAGTATTTGGAGAAATATTGGTTACAATTTCTTTTTTTTTTTGTGTGTGTGTGTGTGGGTGGTTATTGGGGATCAAATCCAGGGACACTTAACCACTGAGCCACACCCTCAGCCCTTTCTTAATTTTATATTTAGAGACAGGGTCTTGCTAAGTTGCTTAGGACTTCATTAAGTGGCTGAGTCTGGCTTTGAACTTGTGATCCTCTTGCCTCAGCCTCCTAAACCACTGGGATTATAGGCATTCTTTACTGCGCCTGGCTGGTTACAATTTTCATTCTTTTTTTTTTTTTTGATACTGGGACTTGAACCCAGGGGCACTTAACCACTGAACCACATCCTAACCAATGAGCCACATCTTTAAAAAAAAAAATCTATTTTTTAGTTGTAGGTGGACACGGTACCTTTATTTTTTATTTTTATGTGGTGCTGAGGATCGAACCCAGGGCCTCACACTCTACCACTGAGCCCCAGCCCCAGTCCTCAGTCCCTTTAAAAATAAATAAATAAACAGATTTTTTTTTTTTTTTGAGTACCAGGGATTGAACCCAGGGACAGTTAACCACTGGGGCACATCCCCAGTCCATTTTTGTATTTTATTTAGAGACAGGGTCTCATTGAGTTGCTTACCATCTCGCCATTGCCGAGACTGGCTTTGAATTAAAAAATCCTCCTGCTTAAGTCTCCTGAGCTGCTGAGATTATTGGTGTGCACCACCATGCCTGGCTTCTTAAAAAAAAAAAAAAAAAAATGAAACAGAGTCTCACTGAGTTGCTTAAGGCCTCTCTGAGGCTGGTCTCGAACTTGAAATCCTCCTGCCTCAGCCTCAAAAGTCACTGAGATTACAGGTGTGCACCACCATGCCTGGCTTGGTTACAATTTCTATTGAGAAAGCAAAAAAACAAAAAAATTTAAAAAATAAGATTTAATTACCCTCCCTATATCATCTATCCCCCAAGAGAAAAAAAAAAAGATTTAGAAATATTTCTTGTACTTGCAATGACCTGATCTACACATTAACACTGACCCAAAGCCCTAGAACTCCCTGTGGAGGCAACTTCCTGACTGCATCAGTTTCCTGGTGAGTGTTCTCCTTTGAAAAGGGCCAGAATCCAAGAGCCTGACTTTCAGCTTAGAGCCCAAGCAAAAGAATCATCCATATCCTACCTGGGCGGGGGGGGGGGGGGTAGTTATCTGATTCTGCTTCTCTGAATAAGGAGGCTAGCAGAGAATAGCATACCCCAGCAAGAATTCAGACAGCTAGCAGCCTAACCCCCGTTTCTTCTCCTTATGTATAGAATGCTTTCAGGGGAAGCTGTGAGACACTCTGGACTGAGGACTACTCCAGTGCCCTTCTGCTTCAGCCAGTGCTAAGATGGGCCCCTTAGTATAAATGACCTGATGAAGCTAGAACAGCAAGATCAGGGTAAAATGTCAGGGAAGCATGGCCTAGAGAACCTGTTCCTCTCCCCCTGCCTGTGCTTGCCTCCTGAGATCTACTGAATGAGCTGTGCTTTGCACAGCAGAGTCTTCTGCCATCCAGCTCACTGTCATTACTGGTAAATATATGACCATCAACAGCACTTAGCCCAATATCCCGGCCTTGTTCAGTTCCCTGTCCCACTTGTTTTCAACTACTTGTTGTGCATCTTGTTGGCTCCCAATTTCTGAAATGAAGATAAAAACAAAACTGAAAATACCCTGAAGCAGTTCTGCCAACTCCTGGTTTTTCCATTCGCTTCCTCTGATAGCCATTGGTTTGGGGAGACTTCCCTTTCCTGCTCCAGGCCGTGGGCCTAATCACAATAGCCCCTGGCGTGTTGCCCATCAGATAATAAGGCTGGCTCTCTGCAGGCCATAGTGTGGATTGGAAAAAGTGAAAGTCTCTGGCTGGAAGTAAAAGCTTAGAAAACCTTTGCTCTTTTCCCTCTCCTGTTTCTTTGCCT